GCTTGGGATTTCCTACAATTTGTGTTTCTTTGGTAAAAGTGTTTATAAACATATGTAGTATTGAAATAATGTTTAAAAAAATGTACGAAACGACTTATGAGGTACCAAAATGTAATAAACTGATAAACCAAATTTTAGTGTTTGACAATTCCGTTTATACATGTAAGTAGCAAAAAACGACATAGATAAACAAGTAATTTGGTATGTGTGTGACGATGAAAAAATCGGTTTGCGATCCAATGGTTGTTTTAGGTTTAAAGTAAGGAAAAAGGGTAAATTGATTAATTTGCATCTATAAATAGCATTTTTTAATAAGTTATAAGTAAACAACTTATAAAAAAAATGTTTGTTAATGTTAGTATGCATTTTTTTTATTCAATACTAGCACTCAAAAAAAATTATTAGAACCGCATCCATTAAACTATTGAGTCTTTTTATATTGTTACATATAAATTTCATAGATAACTTTAAATTAATTAAGACTTGTAATAACACTTGTTGATTTGATTTTATCTAACATACCTTTAGAAAGTGTGGGTATATATATTGCATAATCATTTATTCATTTTCACTCCAAATGAAAAATAACATTTAGAATGTATGATGTATAAGTATAACCTAAAAATACATTTTGTATTTTCATAATTAATGTGTCTAAATGATATTTGTTCAATTTACTTGTGTTGTGCAGATCTTAATTATGTGTGATTGTGTATATTGCCCACACGTTGCAGAAAGAATTATATATGTAAACTTCCTTACCCATTATCCTTCGTTTCCTTTTCTTTTATAAGGTGTATGTAAAACTTTTAGACTTGTGTTTTCCTAATATCAAAATTACAACGATAATCGTGTTTACACAATGCGATTGACCGAAATACGTGCTACAGTTCCAGTTATACACTCTGATAGTGGTACCAGTTATCTGAGCAAAGAATTTGTGCTTCATGTCTTTCGATATGAATTTTCATCTTTACTTTATTCTCTTCTTCACAATAATTCAAAACCCCACCTGAAATTTATTTGCATGCGCACGCCCTGACGCCCACATAGTGCATGCATATTTCATCGCTTTATTGATGTATACATTACACATGTATGCACAAAACATGCTTCCTTAAAAAAAATATTATACTTGTGTATTACTACCAACATGATATATGTCACAATGGATCCGGAACCGGAAAACCGGAAGACCTAATTTATTAGAACTGGAAACCGGGCCGGTATATAGGAACATGTTCCGGGTACGGGACCGGTTAAAGTGGATCTAGAATTAGAAATGTCAAAGTGGGTAGAGTAGAATCTGGTTTCAGGTTTTAGAACCGGAAAACCGGAAATTTTTGCTTTCAACTTGTATGGGGAGTGTTTTGTATTTTTAACTAGTAATCATGGGTTGTTTTGGTACTTTTGTATTAAGGGGGCACGATGGAAACTACGACATGAGTTTTTTTTTTTTTTTTTTTCAGTCCATTGGGAGTCCAAGTCGCACGTATAATTTTATACATAGGCAGATCCACATTGGAGCCCGGGGTATCCCAGGATGCCCCTCAAAAAAAATTCAGTACTATAATTTTTTTTCGGACTCCCCCTTCCCTCCTGCGACTCACGCACGCTGCAGTCATTGTTGTCTTCCTTCTTTCTAACAGCGATTTGCCTCCGGTGGTGGGTGTTCTCCGGCGAAATCCTCAGGTGGTGTGTGATTATTGATCAAAGTGGACAATGAAGCAAGTACAAAAATTAGTGATTATCGTTAGGTTAATTAAAATTCAATTTGTTGTCATTGTGTTGAAAAATTAGAAATTACCAATTAGGATTTTTAGATTGGAGACTTAGGGTTAATAATTAGTGATTATATTGTTGTTGAAACTTGAAATCAAGTTAATTGTCGAAATACCTATAAATGATTTCAACATAGACCATGTTACGGTTTGGAGTTAATTGAATATTTGTTTCATGGTTGAATTTTGACATTTAGAAATTGATTGTGGTTTGATGATTTGGTTGAAATGATAGGTGCGTCACCCCTACAGACTTGTCGAAATACCTATAAATGATTTCAACATAGACCATGCTACGGTTTGGAGTTAATTGAATATTTGTTTCATGGTTGAATTTTGACATTTAGGAATTGATTGTGGTTTGATGATTTGGTTGAAATGATAGGTGCGTCACCCCTACAGACTTGGTTTCTATAAGATCAATGTACTCCATTTTTCATTTAAATTGGAACAAACTTTGAGTGGATGGTTGTGTTAAACTTAGGCTTTTTAATAGAATGTGATTTTGTTCTAGTATATGCATTTTGGTGCTATCGAACCTCTGTTGGGATCAACAAATCATGAACTTTCAACTTTAAGAAATGTTATCATTTTACTTCTCTTAAATTGGAACAAATCTTTAGTGGATGGTTGTATTTAGCATACATAGTGAATGAGGCTTGTTGAGTTCTTTGCTTAGACTTCCATTTCAGTATATATAGTGATCCATCTAAAGCATTCTTCAGTGACTAAATACTACTTTTGTATATATGGAGTGATCCATCTAAATGATTCTTCTGTTAAAGCCGTCATCGATACCGTAATTACTCGCTTTTGTAAAATGAAAATGCGAATAGGTGAACTTTAAAACATAACTTTGTTATGGAAGTTGAACTTTATGTCTAGTGAAGTTGCGTTTTTTTTTTCTTATTATATATTACACGATTTTTTTGGGAGATACCCCTTTACTTTGACCATGACACCGCCACTGATTTTTTATTTGAGGTCTTTAAACTACAGTGTCCGGTTCCCTTTACCCTTTTTACCCATACCCACTAAACACAAACCCACTATACATGATACCCGAACTGATTTAACATATACCGGTTACGATTCTGGTTCCGAACCAGGTTTACATGTTTGAAGGTCATCCTTACTTTGATCAGAATCTGATTATCAAATTTTCTGATCAAAGCAAACATACATTACAACAACAAACAGACGTAAGTTATAGGAATGTGAACTCTTCATGGGAAAAAATAACTAAAATATCATTTATACATAACAAGGATCCTAATGTGTATAGGAATCATATGTGTTGCCAAACGCTGATGCACAAGGTAATTAACGAATGCCACAACATAAAAGTTAGCAAATTGAACGAGATATTGTGCTTCTGAAAGATTCTTGATGAGTTATACCTTTCTAGGTTTTGAAACAAATCCGATTGGCATCTTTAATAATTCAAGAAAAGTAGTGGTTTGATATATGGATACAAAGATTTCCCAATATTCTTCATCAGATTGGAATTTGTTTTTTGTATGCTAAAGTGGTGCTCGATGCATACATACTAATGATGGTCCAAGAAGTATTCTTAATCCAAATGTCTTAAGAAACAAATATAGACACCATTTTCAAATTCTTTTTTCTATAAGAGGGTAAAAGAGTAAAAGCGTATTCGACATGATATGATATCTCCGTTGTGGACGCAAGAGGATAATGAGAGAAATATTTCAAAATCAAACAAATCGTCTGATAAGAATATACTTATATGAAGTATCATAGAAAATCAATAAAAAGATGTTGAATCTTGTTGCTAACATGTCAAGTTGGGGTTGGTTTCATAGATGAGACCTTAATGCTTATGTGTCAAGCTTTCGATAAGGTAAAATGTCTAGTTGTACCCTTTTTGGTTCTTGTGCCATGAATCATGATCAATAGTCAAAATCATGAAAACAGTTCAAACAAATTATTAATCTCTTAATAAGAAATCATATTCCAAAATGTAATACAAAACTTTGATAGAAATTGTCATTTTGTGTTTTTGTTTTATATATATTGTGTTTAGATGCCACTCTTTCTAATGGATAAAATGCAAATTATATAAATGGAGTAAAAACAAAAAGTTGGATTGTTACATGGTGTTTGTGATCATTTAAGGATTTAGCAATTTCAAACAAAGATGAGAGAGTTTAAGTGTAATATTTCAGCTGTTTTTTTTTCATTTAGGTTATCTCGGCATTAAATATTTAAGAGTTAAATGTTTATCATATTATTTTACCCCATTAAACTCTAAATTCCAAAAAACCATTAAATTTAATTTAATGGATTTCTACATCATCATTTTAATATATATATATATATATATATATATATATATATATATATATATATATATATATATATATATATATATATATAACGTTAGGTTTATGTGAGACGGTCTAATTTTGTGAGACCGTAAGACGCAATCCTAGCCACTCATTTTGTAGATAAAAGAAACATTTTTAAAATGCAAAATAATTGAAAATAAAAAAAAATTTCAAATATAATTTTCGTCATTTATATTTTTCAAAAAAAAAGTACAAAAAATAAAAAATAAAAAATACCTTTCACTACAAGAAAATTTCGATTTAACTACGGAAAAATTCCGTAGCAAAATGATGTAATTCCGTAGCTAAACCTAAATAACTACGGAAGTTGCTACGGAATTTTCCAATGAGATTTCATACTAAGATTTCTTGTAGCAAAATGTTTAACTACGAAATTATAGTTCCGTAGCAATTTTACTATGGCGGTTGCTATGACGTCTATCCGTAGCATTTCAACTACAACACACTTCCATCACAATTCCGTAACAATGAATTTTGTAGCAAATTCCGTATCTATTTTGTTCCGTAGCAAATTCCGTAGCTAATTGTTCTGTAGCAAATTCTGTAGCCATTCGTTCCGTAATAAATTCCGTAGCCATTTGGTCCATAGCAAATTCCGTAGCTAATTGTTCCGTAGCAAATTCCGTAGCCATTCGTTCCGTAGCAAATTTCGTAACAACTTTTTTGTAGTCAATTCCATAACAATCGTTCCATACCATTTTTCTATAAAATTCGGTTATTTAATTTGACTTATTATATCAATTTACAAAAATACAATTAATATAAAACCAAAAATAACAAAGTATTTCTATAGAAACTAAAAGAAATATCCAATACATCAAAAGATACATATTTCAAAATCAAAAGTCGCTACAAATTTAACGTAAAACATTATTCGATACATAATATTCTATCATTTATTAATAAAAAGTTTTGACCTGTTCACTCAATATGTTAATGAAATTCATTGCTTGTGCAAGTTGTTGTTCAAACTTTGCTTGAACATCCACATTTTTCTGCTGAAACTCCACATTCTTTTTCTGAGCATCCTCATATTTTTGCTGAACATCCTCATATTTTTGTTGAATATCCTCATATTGTTCGCGTTGCGTCTCAACTTACTTCTTCAAATTCTCAATCTCGACTTTTGTCTCGACATTATTATCTTCATATTGTTCGCGATGCGTTTCAGAAGATCCTTTACTAGAACGAATGTGTGTTCCATATGAGCCAAATTCATATAATCTCTTTTTTCGATCATGACCCCCAACAACATCATAAAATAGTTTGTCATCATCAATTTCCTCTCCTATCGCTTCCAACCGATCACATCGTTCCATAAAATCATCCTATAATTTTATAATTGTGTTGAGATAAAACTTATACAAAAAAAATCAAAATAAAACTTACATGAAATTATTCAAAATAAAACTTACATGAATTTTTTTAGCTTTGTCAACTAAAAAAGTCACTCCATCGTGATTCTTAGCTTGTGTATACAAGAATAGTTCATGGTGTGTCAGATCATGTCCCCAAAGCTTCTTCTACATATATACAAAAAAAATCAATATTAAAGTAGATTGCTATTTTTACAGTTAGGCTTAGATATTTAAAAATGAAAAAATAGCAACTTACTTTTAGGCTAAACCCTTTTTAAAATCAAAATGGAACTAGATTGTTATGATACAAAAGTAAATGAAAGTAGATTGCTATTTTTTGCATTTGGGCTCCACTCTTTAAAAATGAAAAATAAAATAACGTACTTTTTAGGATTAGTCCTCTTAAAAATCAAAATGGAACTAGAAAAACTATAACATACAACTAAATGAAAGTACATTTCTATTTTATGTATTTATGCACAAAACAAGAATTTAGTAGAACAAAGCATACATGGATTAAGAAGTGAAGGTATTTTGTTGTTTCTCAGTTGGTATATAACCCTACATCAAAGTAATTCCATCATTGTGATTGTGCATATCATTGAAGAGATGCAAATAAGTGAAATTAATATGCCTTTATATATAACCCTACATCAAAGTAAATAAAAATTCAACAAACACCACCTAAATAATTCGTCTTGGAACATGAAATCCAAGCATGGTGTTTGTTGTTCCTTTTTAACAGATAAACAAGAAAGTATATATTGAAGTATTTTGAACCTAGCAATAGATTGGTATTTTTGTTTGTCCAGTGAAGTCCGTGTAGAAGGATTGGAAACTTTGGATTACCTTGACAACTGTCAAAAAAGAGAACGCTTCACAGAACAAGGAGACTCAATAACATTTGAATCAGAAGTAACTTTTTCTTATTCCTTAAACCTCAATTTTCATTACTTAACCTAACCATGGGTATTAACGTTTTTTTAACCAGGTTGACAAGATCTATCTCAGCACACCAACCAAAATTGCAGTCATGGATCATGAAAAAGCGAACATTTGTCATCCGAAAAGACTGACTTCCAGATGTTGGTCAGATTAATTTTTAATTAAATGATGTATAGTTAATTATTAATTATAAAGTTTTTTTAATAAAAAAATGTATAGTGGTGTGGAATCCATGGGATAAAAAGTCAAAGACTATAGTTTACTTTGGAGATGAGGAGTATAAATATATGCTGTGTGTGGAGGCTGCAGCAGTTGAAAAATTGGTTACATTAAAACCGGGTGAGGAATGGAGAGGAAGGCAAGAACTTTCAATTGTCAGCAAGAAGCTTTGAATCTTTAAAAAAAATAAGTGGTTGAAGAAAAATATAGGCCTATGTATCATGGATTATACGGCCTATGTCTTATGTCCAGGTATGTTGTGCATTACATACATACATACATACATATAATGATATAATCATACATTCATACATACACGTGTCTTGTTTCAGGTTTTGTATTGCATTATGTGGTTTTAATGGGAAAAAAAGATAAAGCTTCTATATTTAGATCATGGTTTATGATGCAAGTTGGGATATATGTTTGTTATACATATTCAATTAAATGTATATTGAATGGGTGGTCAAATATTATATTTTAGACACTTCATTAAAAACGAGCTATATATATATATATATATATATATATATATATATATATATATATATATATATATAATAATGCATTTGAAAATTAGATTAAAAGCATGAAATGAATGATTATTGATTGATAGCAGCATAGAATTCCTAAGAAGGAATCGAAGAAAGAAGCTGTGCAAATTCAGGAAAATTAATTATAATAGTGAGAGTAGGATGTTGTGTTCAACAATCGTCTGGACATTTGAGAATAAAATCTAACAAGAAAAGGTAACCAAAAGCTTTACTATATGTATGATCAATTCTCTCCAAAATAACATCAAAGTGATGAAAATGGTTTAAGATGTTTGCTACAGATTTGATAACCTACCATCTCCACAGTGATTATAGAATCATAAGAGATGCTTTCCTCATTATTTCCAGCAGCCTATAACCTGAACAATCTAACATAATTACCTTGTAAAATACCCAAAATTTCCTTCCACTACCAATGATTCATTTCTAGTTTGTAGGATTCCTCTTTATGCCCCTTTTATAATACATATACTTAATTAAAGTCAGAAGTATAGCGAAAACTTGGCAAAGAAGCAAGGAGGAAACAAGTAATTATAAGGAGCATAAAAGGATACAAACAATTACAAGGAAATTCCGGAATGTATTTTCTCCTAAAGATAAAACATTTCCTTTTATGCGTGTTAATTAAAGACCAAATAGAGGAAAAAAATCATCTTCTTTTCTTTCAAAGATATAAACACAAAAAATAACTCAAAAAATAACTCACCTTACCAAGTTCCGCAAAAATTGGTGGCCCTACATCATAAAGTTTGGAAACCTGTAAAAATAATAAAAAAAGAAAAGAAAAAAAAAGATCAGATAGATCATGGTCTAGTTGATAAGACATAAAAAACTGATTAAAATATATGAGTTTACTAGATGCTGACAAGTTTAAATATAGGAGCAATCATTCAATGCAAATTCTCGTTGGCACATACATCTTGGATCTATTTTTTTGCAAAACACCATGCCCAAATCCAAGAACAACTTGTATACGACTTAATGACTCAATGAATGAAACCATAAGAGAGCAGCAAATGATTGTGGTTCGAAAGCAGCAGCAACCTGTGCCTTAATTAGAGGATACATGTGAGGTTTTCTTTTTTCTTCTTCCCATTTGAGCATATAAGAAACTTATGACTTATTTGTGTTCAATAATCTAATAGTTTATGACTTTAAGTATCTTCAGCTAAAGCAAATTCAGACACTCTTGAAGCTCAAGGTGAATTGTCAGATAGTAACATAGGAGACACCATTTTCAGTTGAGAGGACATATGGCACAGGTGGACTTAGAAAGGATTCACTATATATATTAAACAATACACACAAGTTTGTTGATGAATGTAATTGCTAAATGAAATCTATTAGATCATGTCAGATTGGCAACCACTGCATTAAAATCCATAATTCGCATCAAATGCAATAAACTCGATCAATCAAATTCATCAATAAAAAATTGAATCAAACTGCGTGTATGGATTGATAGAGTTAACAGAACATTAACTCGTCACGGATTCAATGGAGAGATCAATATCCTTCAAGTCGTTGGATAATAGAAAGAGAAAATGGAGCAAAAAGAAGAGAGAAGAATGTTACCTGGTAGGGATGAAGACGATCGAGAAAAATCTACCGGTTAACGGAGCAGGCGACGAACGACAAAGCAAATGAGAGTGAGAGGAGCTCCGATTGATAATGGCGTAAGTAATCTGAGGAATGAGGAATGCCGGCGACAGGTCACGCGATTGACAAATTTGATATGAATACCTCTGATTTGGGGAAGAAGACTTATTTGACCCATTTGCCCTTAATAAGACTGGTCAAAAAAAAATTTATATTATGGGTCCTCCTATTCGCATCAAAAGAGTCGTGTAATGTTTTAGTATTTGTGCCTTAAATTTGAAAACATGACAATCTGTAACAATCCCTTTTATGTAAAAATGTTATTATATAAATTCTCATTAATCCCTTTATTAATACATAATATTCATATTTCACCCTATACTTTATCGACTTTTAAAAATTCACTATATTATCTTAGTCTACTAGAAATATGCTAATACGTGTATGATAATATTTTAAAAAATATATACATTATTTTTAACCTATAATAGTGTTAGTCTAATTCATTTGTAAACTCAACCAACATTTAAAAATTAGTGTTTAAAAACTCAGTTAGTGTTTAAAATTAATTAGTGCTTTAAAAAATTAACATTGGTGTTTAAAAACTCAAGTAATGTTTAAAATTAACGTTCACAAACTCGATTAACGTAATAGAAAAAAAAGTCATTTCCCTTTTAGAATATTATATTAATGATGATATTTAAATAATGGATGTGTGGATTAGATTTTAAACAAGTAAAAGGTGAATTTTGGAATACATAGTTAAATAGAAGGGTGATAAATGAAAATACATATTATATAAACAGTTTGTTTAAATTTATGGAAGTCGCAGAAATGGTACTTGGTTAATTGGAAGACAACAGATATGGTCCATGCGTTAGAATTTGTCCATGCCTTTTAGAGAATTTACAAATTAATTTTTTTTTTAAAACACCTGGTACAGTGTAAATAAATTTTGATTTAGGAGTAATAATTTCCAAAGCCTCAAAAATATGGGGATAATATTATTATACAAAAATTAGCAAATGTATGTCATCAAAATCTAAAAATTGTATTTATAATGTAGAAATTATATTATAATTAAATTTTCAAAACAGTTAAAAATAATATGTTATTTTTGTTGTTCAGTTTTTAAAGATAACTGTGTATTTTTAATATATTTTTTTCAATAATCTTCTATATATTCCGTAACTACTTAACTACGGAATTTTCCGTAGCCAAATACCTATGGATTTTGATTTCGTAGCTATTTTGCAAATTCATCTTTTTGTAACAAGTTCCATAATAGATTAGCTACAAAATTTTATTTTGTAGCAAATTTTCCTAGCAAAATAACTACGGATCCTAATTTCATAGCTAACTAGCTACGTATTTTTATTTTGTAGCCAATTATGTAGCCAACTAGCTACATACATGGATTTTGTAACAAGTTTCATAGAGAACTAGCTACAACCAAAAAACTTGTAGCATTATTTGTAGTAAACTAGCTACAGATTTTAATTCCGTAGCAACTATTCAAGATTTAGCTACGGAATGCAATTCCGTAGCCATTTCCGTAGCAAATTAGTTACAACCAACAATTTTGTAACATATTCCATAGTAACATAACTATGAATTTAGATTCCGTAACAACTTTACGTAGCTATTTAAGATTTAGCTACATAATGCAATTCCGTAACAATTTATGTAGCAAAATAGCTACGACAAGTCGTTCCGTAGTATATTCCGTAGTAAAATAGCAACGGATTTTGATTCCATAGTAACTTTCCGTAGCTATTTAGAATTTTTCTTGTAGTGTTTTTTTACATATTCTAGTAGAATATTAGAATATTTTACATATCTCACTGATGTGATTTATGAGCTTTGGTTTGGCATGCGGAATTAAAGAACACACAATGAACACGGTGATTTCGGTGTTTAAGAGATGCATTCGATTATGTATGCTGTTACAAAAAGGGATCTAGATCTAAATCTACATAAATAGCACACACTTACACACTTAATTTTACATCTCTCAAGCACACCTCTACATGTGGAATGAACCCACCTTATATAGAGGTGTTTACATGTCTCTCTCTCTCACTCTCTATCTCTCATGTCACAAGGCTAAAGCACCACATGCAAATGGGTCTACAAAAGTCAACCCATTTACAAAGTCATACATGGATAACTTTGTATCCAACATTCTCCCCCTCAAAGTTAGGAATGGATGACCCACTTCAAATCTTCCAAAATCGAGCAACTACGCGATCCGAGCCTCAAGCGTGACACATGTAGAGATGAACTTCAAATCTTAAATTCTTCCATGATTCTTCAATTTGGGTTCTAGGATGTGAGACCATACGAACTGAGCATCAACGAATGAGCAAGAGCTTCTCAAACTCCAAATAATCACCCTAAAGTTGAGCATAAAAGCACACCCCAAAAATCTTCAATAAGTCCAAACCCATCTTGAACCGAAATCACTTTCGAATCTCCAATCGCATCATTTCATAAACTTCAAAAAAATTCAAGGTCACTTCGGTCTTCAAGTCCGCGTAATATGAAAAATTCAACTTTCGAATTTCCATATATATTTCTCCCCCTTTTTATAATCGAAATTTGATTATAAAACCAACAAGGAAAGAGAACGAACTTTATTCGGTATTTTTCTTGTCAAAACTCCCCCTTAACATGTGGCATAAACTTTTTGCTTCAATCCGAAAAACCGAAAAAATCTTCAATTTTTAGCTTCGTTCACGGACCGCCTTTGACAAAATTTCTCAAAAATGGGTAGAAATTGTCAATTTCAAAATTCTGCAGTGACCCGGTGCGCCCAAAACAGCCAAAAATGCGAAACTCTTCTCCATTTACGAAACTGGGTAGAAAGCGTCAATTTGCATTAACTGCAGGGGCCTGAAATGCATATTCTTCAATTTCTCAGCAAAATCAGTCCATTTTCGAAATTGGGTATGAACAGCCAAATTTTCGAAACTTCAGGGACTGCTTTCGAAAATTCAGCCTTTTGTCCCAAAATGTCAAAAATTATCCCAACTTTCGAAGGTGGGTGTAATCTGTCAAACTTTCGAAACAACAAGGACCAAATGCGAAACTTCCGCCATATTTCATCCAAACTTTCGAAAAATTGCCCCAACTTACGAAATTACCTCCTGATTTCGAAATGTATTAAAAAGTGACAAACATTCGAAACTTCAAGGGCCATTTTCGAAACTTTTATGTTTTCTTCCCCAATTCGTTACAAAGACAACCAAGTTTTTCTTCCTTCCCATTCGTTAGTTTCAATCACGAAATCCACAAGACCATTTTAGCGAAAAAAAATTTTCTTAAAATGTCGAAATTACAAATACTTCCCAATTCATTAACCATATAACGAAATCACAATCCATCTCCTTTTCGTTATCAGGTAACGAAAATCTTGATATCAAAACCAATACTTCCCAGTTCATTAACCATATAACGAAATCCACAACCCAAAATATTTGATCAGCCCTCTTCCCAAATCATCGATTCCTTCGATTGTTCCAGTGGCGAATCACCAAAATCTTCGTTCTTTGACCATAGACTTAGTATCCCAAATGCAAACTTTCGAAATCAATCGACATCCAAAATTGAATCGATTTTTATCATTCAAACCAAAACATCAACCATTGACCATCGATTCAAACTGTGAAACCATCGAAATCAAAACATCAAAATCTTCGATCATCAACCTTCCCATTCTCAATACCCAATAAGATGATTCACAGCAAACCTTTGCAAAGTTGTGTTCGACATCTACACTCCAAACGAGACCACAGATAGCGAACTCAATCCAAAACACTTATTTGACCCTTAATCACGAATTCAATCCAGTCGACTCCATGGCTTCAGTTCTTCGAAATTAGCCTCTTATCATTAACCCATTTGAAATCGACATTGACGAACTCACTTCGAAATAACTATTCGCACATCAACTTCATAAAATCGATTTCGTTACTGAATCATACGATCCCATCGACATCGTAGCTTTAGTCATCAAGAACAAAATCCATCCAACTTCGAATTAAATCCCAAATTAGACTTGATTTCGACATCCATATCTCATATTCAACTCAAATCCAACGATTTCAACCTCCAATTCTTTGATTCATCACTTAAAAATCGAGTTTGACTTTTTGTTGTGTTTGACTTTTCGAAGTCAAAGATGAACAAACAGCAAATGGATGATTCAAACACCAAATTTTGGATCAAAACATGATTATCCAACAGTTTGTCATCACATTTATGTGTTCTTGGTCAAGTTTATCAAGATCAAAGAATCAATTGACGATTTCTTAAGAACAGCTTGATCATAATCGATTTTGTGATTTGTCCAAACTACATAAAATCGATTCACAAGACTAACGTAACAATCAAAGCTAATCGACTGTTAGAGATGATGAAACGGAATCAAAGTCATAAGAACAAGTTGAATAAAATGTGAATCAAGAACATCACCATGTACAACCGATAAAGTGTGTGACGATGAGAAACATTTACCAACAGTAACATCGATTAAATGAGTTTTATAAGTCATTGGGCTCAAATAATTCTGATTCGAAAAATGTCTTGGGCTCAATGATTGGACATGAACAGTAAGATCGAAAGATATTTGGGCTAATTCTTGATTGGAAAATTAGATTTTGAATTAAAAACAAATATGAACAATACTAAATCATATGATCTGATTTTTTATTCAAACAACAATTGCAAGTTTAGAATTGAATCAAACAAACGGATATGAGATTGGATCGGGCTTGATCAAAGAAAAAAATTATTGGATCATAACAAGTGGGTTTTTAAAAAAAATTTGATCCAACGAATCAAAATGATCAAAAATCAAGAACACAACACACGAATCAATGAAATTTAGAGAGATCATAGAGAGAGAGTCGCCATAAATGCTCCAATTGTGACAAATTTAGCCAAACCGAGAATCGTTTCTTCAAAAAATCATGTTGATCTTCGAAGACCCGCTCTGATACCAATTGATGTGATTTATGAGCTTTGGTTTGGCATTCGGAATTAAAGAACACACAATGAACACGGTGATTTCGGTGTTTAAGAGATGCATTCGATTATGTATGGTGTTACAAAAAGGGATCTAGATCTAAATCTACATTAATAACACACACTTACACACTTAATTTTACATCTATC